ACCAACACCACCACCACTATCATCACAACCAACTTTACCACCACCACCAGCACCACTATCACCACCACCACTACCAGCACAACCACCACCAGCACCACAACCACCACTGTCACCACTACCAGCACAACCACCACCAGCACCACAACCACCACTGTCACCACCACCACTACCACCACCAACACCACCACCACTATCATCACAACCAACATTACCGCCACCACTACCACCAACACCATCACCACTATCATCACAACCAACATTACCACCACCACCACAACCAACACCACCAGCACCACAACCACCACTACTTCCACCACCACCATCAATACGACCACCACCACCACTACCAGCACCACAACCACCAGCACTACCACCACCACTACCACGACCAGCACCTTGCATTCGGATTTGCTTGTGTTGGATGTTCCTGCTCTGATTAAATTATTTTTATCCCTCTTCTGTCCCACGCTATTACACGCATCGGCCTGTCTTGATGTCTCATCCGTGTCAACTTGATGCCCGTGGTTGTGGTGGTGTATCTCAGACTGTCAGACGAGGCCACCCTCAAAGCCTCCGTGCGCATGTTCCTCGACATGCGATTTATGCGGTCTTTCAAATGTGACATGCTCGCTCTGTGTCGTTGGATTTTGTCCGTGAAGAAGAATTATCGTCAGGTCACCTATCATAATTGGCGACATGCGTTGAATGTGACCCAGACAATGTTTGCCGTGATCATGGTAAGTCAGAAAGTGGCCCCGAAGACGGAGGACTGATTGTGAGTCCGTCGCACAAAATGCGCAGTGAATTTCTGCCCTAAACGACGTCCGAGGGATTTTCGTTCACTTCATCGAAGACGGATAGGTAGGTAGGTACGTAGGAAGGTACTATTGTCATTCGAGAAGGATAACCCGAAGGCCCCGGGGGGCCCATTTGGCTTTTTATTCCATTCACACCTGGCTAATGAAGCTGAATTGAGTGGATAATGCTGATAGTTTCATCGATAAACAATGGCGTGACGAACAAGCAACAGTTATAGTACTCTATCTACCGGTCACTTGTATCGCATCAACATCTCAGGGGGTTCTATGTAACCAGATGGGAATTGCGATTGTCAGTTTTACTCAGTCAGTGTGTTTACCCCCCGGGGACGAGGGAAGATCTGTGAAGTTGGAATGTGAATAGTCTACCGCATATTTAATGATATTTATTTGCGCATTGTATAGCACTCGTACCTGACCTTGTCCCTGTTCGATTGAACCAAACTGGTCGGTCATCCGATTACCCGAACGTCTGTGGGTGTGACTGATGCAATTTGTGCCATAGAAACACGCAAGCAGGTGAACAAAAACGGGACATCTCTGCTGTCTTGCAATAAAACTATACCTTCGGGTTCACTTTCTGAAAAGCATTATCTAAGGTAAATAGATTTGAGCGTATTTGAACTTACTATTGCTTAGCTAGGCAACGACATGATAGGTTAAGTTTTACTAGAAATCCATCGATTATCTCATCCGTGTGTGGCGGGGCCTTTGAATTTCGGCCGTGCTTTTCGAAATTGGACAACTATTTTTTTGTTTTTGCAGTGGATATTATTGAGCGTACTCGTTCATATCAATTCACCAATTTTTTTCAAGGTCAAATGCTGACCTACAACTTCCACTTTATTAAATCTTTCTGTGTTTTCGCGAATGAAGTTGAAATCTCAGCTTTTTCTCATTCCGTGAAGAATCGTTGCAAATGGCTGAGAAATAAACGTCAAGGTCACCATAAAAAGCATCGCGCTGGCTGGCAGGTTGCTCTCCGGCGAAGTTCTATCAAAAGGATGACCATTCCGTCCATTTGTTCCAGCAACATTCGCTCACTTGTGGGAAAATCGATGACGTCCAGAATCTGGTGCAACAGAAACAATGCAAAAGTGTGGGAGTCATTTTATTGAGGAAAGCTGGTTACACCCAGATATTGAGGATGATGTGGTCCGATTAGGCGGCTTTGATATTTTCAGGAGTGATCGGATTGTGAAATTTCGCAACAGAGGTGGCGGAGTGGTCACTTTCGTTAATCGAAGTTGGTGTAAGAACACTCGTATGATTTTTTCCTACTCAACAAGTAAAATTAACTGTACTTTTGTTTACTGCAAGCCCCGCTTTCTCAGCAGATTTCGCTTCATTTACTTTGTGAATATTTATATTGCCCCTGATACACTCGCCCCCGACCTAAGACTATTTTCTGATACTGTGGTGACGCAATTCGCCAGCTGTATTGACCAGTCCTTATGTATAACCGCTGGT